CTCTTTTTTCTTCTCCCCCCTTCCTCCCTCTTTCCTCCCCCTCCCTCCCCTACCTGTGTGGTAGTGTGGCCGAGCCCAGTATAGTCCGACCGGTACAGGGAGCTGTTGTTTCCTGTACCCGGCCGGACTAACAGGAAGTGAACACTCAGTGTGTACTTCCTGTTAGTCCGGCCGGGTACAGGAGACAGCTGCTCTCTGTACCGGTCGGACCATGCCATAGAGGGCTCGGCCACGCTACAGAGAGGGAGCTGACAGGAGAGAGCGCTGAGCGCTTCCCTCCTGTCAGCCCCTCTCCTCAGGCTGCGCCCGGGCGGTGCGGTCCGCCCTCATGGACGCACCGCCCGGGCAAAGCTGCAGCCGCCCGAGGCTCTTTACAGAGCGCTCGAGCGGCTGCAGGATGAGCGGGGCCGGCGCTCCTGGCGGCGCCCCCTCCCAAGGGGCGCCCTAGGCGGCTGCCTAGTCCGCCTTACAGGTAGCGCCGGCCCTGAATGCTTAGTGAATATACCCCTAGACAAGAGCTGTAGAAGTTCACGTAACAAGAAATATGTGTTATATGCTGGAGAACATTGTGTAACAAGTAATAGGTGTGGTATTCTGTATTCTTCTGTTTTTCAGCCTTATTTCCTGTTTTCTCTCTTTGATCATAACTGCATAGTAGTGTCATTTAGAACAGAGTAGTAAATATCTTAAATTCTCAGTGTGCATGCATATTACTTGGGAGTGCGTGGCTATAGTGAAATTTAGCTTTGAGCAAGGCCCAAACATGAAGATACACCCGCAAGCTCGCTATAGATTAAGATGTTAAGATAAGATAGCTGATTTTGTTAGGATTGGATAATGCTTGTAACTCTCTCTTCGGTTCTGAACGTGGGTAGTGATAGCTTTCTTTACACTCTTTGTAACTTTTAAACCCTAAGAGCTGTAATATTGTGTTGGGTCTATTCGTTAGACACCACACAGTGCAGAGTTATTTACTAAGGTGAGAATTGTCAGGAATTCAGAGTACATTCAAAGTGATTTCCACATTTAAGGCCAGAGTAGCTGAACTAGAACAATTCTCCAAGCTAACTATGCTTCCAATTTGGCTATTTTGGCCTTAAATTTGAATTCCCAACAATTATCACTTTAACTCCTAAATGGCAGAGACTTTTGGATCTCAAAGATTTAACTAGCATTTTATTGTTTGGTTTGTAAAATGTAGTATTATTAATTTCACTAATGAGTTAATACTGACTCTTGTAACGAGAGCGATGCCGCTTACATTCAAAACTACTCTCCATATCATAGAAAATGATTAGATTCTACACCTCTCCTGCATAGAGAACCTTCCAAATACTGGGCCAGCTTTATCAAAGTGTCACCAAAACATTTACATCACATTTTTGGCACATTTTTAGAGCAATTTATGAAAATCTCAAATTAATTTATTTGTTTTAGATCTGTTTTCTTTTGCATTCGAAGTGACATTTTTGAATGTGCACCATATTTTCGGTACACCATATTTTCGGTACACCATATTAGTTAAGGGCATCGCAACATGAATAATATTTTCATTCAGTAAACTTGGGCAAAAAAGCAATGACTCCAATCAC